CTAATAATAATAATAATAATAATAATAATAATAATAATGGGTTATTCATTTTGGACTACAGAGGTCATCATTATAATGAACTTAAATCATTCTAAATTATATCTTCATTTTTATTATTTACTATCATTTCAGGTATTTGGAATAAACTGGTAAACCTCAAAAAATTAATGAGTATTTATTCAAAGTTAAGTGATTATTATATGGGTTCAAAAATTATCTTGTAAAATAATTTTGGAAGCAAAATTAATAATTAAACTTGGTGAACACTGAGGCTTCACCTAAAAGAGTTGGAAAACTCTTATTCTAAACTAATGATGTACAAGGACTCCAGGATCCTGAGGGAAGGATGGGCGTATGAACCTATTATTGGCCATTGGATATCACGGAAATACATCTCCTGACGTTGCTTCAATGTCTTGTGGATCAAACATTTAGGTCGAAGCCTCCGGATATGTCACCATTAAAAAAACCATTTATTTCGATCTAGGAACCCGGGTAATATCACAGCTCACTCACAAATTAAAGGACTTGTGTGGCGCATATGTATTCAGTTCCCCTTTGTACCAATATTTATGTGTTCAAATAAATAAATAACTATTAGACAGTGGCTACCAAGTACTTCCAAGGCTTTTAAACACTTGATAGGACCTTTCAGGATATACATAAAGATATGTATAAAATATCATGAAGAATAGAATATTTGGTTACACATAGAATATATGATGTAAACTCCAACCTCTTGTCTCAAGTATAAAACAATTATACTAAAAACCTTTGAAAAGCTTTCTAATCTCTACTTATAAACAAAACCTGAAACATGTCAACTCCTTTATACAGTCCCCTATTTATGTCAGTTATATCTGTATACTGTATGCTATCTATGAACTTTTGTCTAAATATGAACGAACACTTACAGTAATTGGGCACTGAATTAATGGAAGAAATTAAAAAGAATGTTATATTCAATGATTGAAATTAAAATAAATCAAATTAGCTAATTTTTGATATTGAATAATTTCCGTTTAACGATCTTGAACCAGAACATTCCCAGAAATTTCAAAACACTATGATCCAAGTGTTTATGTCTGGAGATTCATTTCTTTGCATTTAATCATGAACCATTAAATCTCTTTATCATAATATGTATTACATTAAACGAATTTGTCATATTTGTGAGAATCATTATTAATTGCCTAGGCTTATTATCTTTCCCACTGAAAATGGATGAAAAAATATGCTATTCACATACATAAGCCCTTAATCATATCCATTTACAATAAAATCTTTCTGTTCAATCGACTAATGAAACAACTAAGTACATTTCAACTAATTCAGTATATTGCAAACTACATAAATTCATTTTGTATTATTTATTTGAATTTTCCTATTAGTGTTAGGACTGCAATTGATCAGTCTCTTATTGGCATATGTGTATACTGCGCATATTGCCTCGGTATTATGTTGAGTCACAAGCGAACGGTACTGAGTTGGAGTCTCAGAGTGGGTATCAACTCTCGGATGCAGGTATATCCAGTTGACAAGTCTCAAATAGAACGAAGCATGAGTCCTGAATTTCACCGTTAGCCACTATCCATCTTTGTTTACACAGTTGAAATATTTTACTAACAGATTTGTCATTGTTGAACAAACAACTCTTACTCTCAATACAACTTCAACACTTCGGTTTTAAATAAAATGCTTACTCTTTTAAATTTTTAGCAAAATAAATCGGACTTTAAAAGATCTATTTATCACATGTAGGGTTTTTATTAAACAGCCTCCTACTTGAATGAAACCAAAATGTTTGGGGCAATCTTTTGATAGTCTGCAACGGGTAGTGACTTGAAATTATGCTCAGGGAAGTAATTGTTTAAACTATTTCATACAATTAGCTCCTTTTATAAATTTGGATAAGATTAAAGTAAAAATTAAGGTTCAATAGTTAAACAGTTCGACTTTCACTCTGTAAATGATAAGTTCAAATCTAACCTTAATTATTTCATCATATATCGTTATGGTTTCACTAAAATTTATAAAGAGTATGATTATATTGCTTAATAGTTAAATGATCTACTGTTCAAGAATTATAGATACTTTTCATTATGGTTTGAATTTAGTTGATTACCAACTGGAAATATGCTATTACTAGATAGAATGGTGTACTCATAATTCTACACAAGATTAAATATTGAGTTGTTACGTCTCGTACAAAACGCAATTGATTCCAAATACTTGATTTATCGGTAAGTTACTGATTATCATGCTCAGCGTTGTTTATTTTAAGTGTTAAAAACTACACAAGTACCCAAGTCATGAAGTCATAGTTAAATTGGTACCAAGAACTAAGATCTATTTGATATTGTTTGTTTTGTCAGCAGTAAAGAAAGAAGGATCGAAATACAACTCCGAATTCGAATTTATATATATATATATATATATATATATATATATATATATGCGTCCTGACGTTCCCGATAAGACTAAAGTTAAGTAATAATTGATCCATACTGCTAACGATATTCTTTATTAAGATACAAATCACTGAATGGTTGGGGAAATTCTGCAAGAAGCTCCTTATTTAATTTTCATGCTCATAATCTTAAAGGGATTAATTTTCCCGGTGTAATTAAAACTTGTATCATTGAATTTTTCAACTGGCAGGTTAAAAACATAATATACACAAAATAGAGTCACTTAGACTATTGTTCACAATATTACTTTCATCAGCACTAAAAACTAAGTAAACACAATACAGACTGCTACTCAGAAATCAATCAATATAAGCTAGTAAGTTTCGAAGCTTTCATTATTCTTTAGGAATAAAGACTATAAAGATATATAAAGTATTTAGATCTGGATGGTTTAGTCGTGGAGCTTTCATAGTTCTTCTGAACGATATCATCAGCATAAACTTCAAATGGAAATGAAGTGTTTGAATTTCTCCATGTATGGCTTTGAACATTTTAACCATAATTTGGATAATATATAGTTATATAAACTACTTTCACTAAAGATTTATTCACACTTTACCTCAAGAAGTTTTTTAAAATATGTAACCCAACAAAAACTTTAGTTGTTTGTAGTGTTTGATAGTTCACTAAGCATTACTCATCATATGGACTAGAATCCTTTATTATTTTGTATACACAGAAAAATTATATAACTTCTGATCCAAAGAAACTAGATGAACTCAAAAGAAAGTTATCTATTCCTTTTTCTTTGGCCGAAATCTCATTGCTAACTGAACACAGTAGTAAGTCAGTTGTTCCAGCTATTAGTAAGTAATAAATGACTATTCGAAAAAACTATCTCAAACCCAATAATACAAAACTCTTACTCTCCATACTCAGAATTCTTATTGCATCTCGGTAAAAATGATAAATAATTTACAATACAACTCAGTGTTTTATGAAAGGTTACCTAAACTGGACAATATCAGAAATCACTTCTTTAGTACATTCGAATTTCTATGAAAAAAGTCGATACTCTGATGTGAATCTTAAAAAAGTCATTGAATCGGTCATCTACTGCGTATGTTGGAGATTGTCGTATTATGTTGAATGATCATTAATCGTTTGTTACATTATTTTAGCTGTTCACAAAAAGACATCGATAATTTTTATGTGACCTAAAAGTCATATCATTCTTAAATTGAACAATCTCTCATCATGATGATAAATACAATAAAAGATATTTGAAGGGTAGATACAACTAATTTTCTCGGTATGCATTATGATTTAGATACTTTTGAAAGCATAAACCATGTTATCTAACCACTGCTATGTGCATCTATCGACACAGATATCCGTATGAATTTTTAATAAGTCGAGGTCACTAACCGTAATCTTTCTTAAAACCATCGTCAGATAAATGCCGTTCCTGCTCTACAGAGTAATAACAGAAGTATATCATTGTAGTTCAGTTGCAGACCTTCTGAGCGTTTTTAGTTATTCAAGGGATCTAACAAATATACAGAGTACTGAGTGTTTGGCCAAGATAAACAAGAATCTCAGAACACAAGCTACATGTTATTTGACACTCGTAAGGAAATCATATCCGGGATCGAAAAGCAACTGAGATTCACTGTTCGATTCAAACTCACATCATTCAATGTCGTGTCAATGATGTTAGCAGTGTTTTACTCAAACGACGACTAGAGTCGTTAGTTGCTGAGATATTTGTATCTCTTATCATTCCTAACGAATTCTACCCAATGTTAAGTCACTTACCCTAAAGAACATTTCCCAGATTGACAAATAGGATTATGTCAACACTATTCAGTTGTTAATCAGTGTAACTTAAGTGTTGTCCGGATCTCATGAAGGCATGAACTCACATCTGTTTCGAGCTGTAAAATGTAGAGCAATTTATGATTATTAGAAAAGATTTGAGTGATACCATTGTTGATAATCTTGACTGGATTTCGATTAATCTTTGATGCATAATTGCATCCCATGAGAAATACTTCAACCTAGACATTCTCGAGAAATTTCTAACAGAATAGACGGATTTTGACAAGTGGTGTAATCAAGAGCGCTTGTTTCGTTTTATTGGGGATTCGTCAGTTGGATGAATCTGCATCCGTTTGATGTCCAGTCTGAGACTAAAACCAAACGCCTTCCGTTTCAAATGGCCGCACTTAATCCTTCTAGCGACTGAGTTCGGATAGCCATTCACTTGTGCGACGGGTATCAATGTTCATTTAATATAAAATTGTTTGAACTGTTCGTTTGTTGATATTCTGACAGTAATTGTACCGTCCTTATATTAGCATACGTGGTTTTGTACGAATCCCCTCGATATATTTATAATGTCGCAGGTGCATGCAAAAATAGATGAAATATGACTGACAGTGAAATTTAGGACGCATAAACTAGGTACATCTGATAAACGAATACTAAATAGGTCGAAACATAGTCTCTGAATCTTCCCTGCTACCTACATTTCATTTATTCTAAATGAAAATAAAAGGAATAATAAGTAAATTTGATTCAACTTACCCAAAAAAGAATAAACGATCTATCGGTCTTTTATATCCCATACGTTTTGAAGTTAAAGTAAGTATATGTTCAGCAAATCGAAAAGTTATTTCACTTGGTTTACCCAATAATGACGTATAACGTAATTTATAACCAGTTAATTGATTATATAATGTTTGTAAACAAATTAAAAATGCACCATGACCAAATCTAGGCAATGCAGCTTTATCCATATAAACTAAATCCATATTACATGCAATTATTGGTAAATGTTCTTCTGGAAATGTTTCTGGTACTTCATCTGGTTTACCATCAGTCATTAATAAATCAACTAATAATTGTAAACTTGACTCCCATCTTGCTGGTTCACCAGTTAAGATTATAGCTAAGATTTTTTTATTAAAAAAAAACAAAAACATCTATAAAATTTATTTGTTCTCAAATGTACTAATATTATAGGTAGATTTTCATTAGTACCTTATGTCACCTAGTAAACTGTTGCTTTAGGTCTTCCGAAATTTCATATGAATACATATTCGAAATTTTCAAATCTTGTGGTATATAGATGATAGTACTCGGATTATTAGGTCTAAATTTACATATCTCTTATTTATTTAAGAAGAAGCACTAGTCCAGTGCTTCCAGTGCTTCCAGGTTTTCAATGGTGGTCTAGCTTCAACTGACTCATGATTTCAACTCCTAAAGTTCTAGTGAGAAGCCGTTACCAGTGGAGCTCAACCGATCTGTTGTGAGATAACAACTCACTGAAGACAATGGTGTACGGTGGCGCAACTTCGTGGATTGGTTGAAGTTAGACATTAACACCGTTGGATGCCGGCTCAGTGGTCTAGTGGTTAAGTGCTCGCGCGCGAAGCCAGTAGGTCCTGGGTTCGAGCCCTGCGTGGTGCGGGATCGTGGATGAGCACTGCTAAGGAGTTCCAGTGCTTCCAGTTTTTCAATGGTGGTCTAACATCAATCAGTTCATGATCTCAATCAGCCTTGAGAACATTAGCTTTTCTAGCCAAACCTTCTTTCATACTTATCACTGAAACATGGTGCTCTCAAGCAGTATCTAATTCAGAATTAAATATCCAGAACTATCGACTTTATCGCTGCGACAGAGAAACTAAGCGAGGAGGTGGTTGTATTATATATGCTTTGGATACCCTAACAACTAATAAAGTTGAAGATAGTGTCCTGAATAGTTTACCAGAATCAGTCTGGATATCAGTCAACACCCTGAATCATAATCTACTACTTGGATGTATATACAGAGCTCCTGATAGTCTGAATAGTGGGAATGATCTTATGATCAATGCATTCATACATGCATCCTCTCTAAACTTTAATGCTAAGGTTATCACTGGGGATTTCAATTATCCTGGGATCAACTGGAGTACTGGTAGCTGTCAGACATGTAATGATGAGTTCTCGGCAACCATTAACATGCACTGCTGGTCACAGTGGGTTCGTGCCCCAACTAGAGGCGATAGTATACTCGATCTAATATTTAGTAGAGATGTTATACCACTATCTGTAAAAGTGTATGATGAATTTGAAAGCAGTGACCATAAGATAGTAGTTTGCGCTCTCCCTATCTATCTCTCTTATAACCCACCCATTCAAAAAACCTGTCAATATAGAGACTATAAGCATGCTGACTGGGACCTCCTGCATTCATTGATTAAACTATCAGACTGGGATAACTTTTTTTCATGTAATAGTCTCATGGATGCTATCGATGAATTCTATCTGATCATTAACTCCTGTTTAGATTCCTGTGTACCTGTTAAAACGTACAGGTTTAGTAAACCTTACGAATTATATATACCAGCTAAATATCGTAATAAACTAAAACGCCTACAGAATCGTTATTTTAAGTCAAACGACTTCACAGCAGTTGCACAAATAACAATAATTTTTAATCAAATTAAAGAGAAACATAGGTCAAAAGCCATTAATGAGGAACTGTTAGCCCTTAATACTAACTCGAAAGTACAAAACTTAACTCTCCTTTTCAATAAACGCACTAAAGCAACTCGTAATGTTGATATACTGTGCATCCAGCATAATAGCACTTTTATATACGACTCAAAAACCATGGCCGATCTTTTCAGTAGTACATTCGCCAATGTTGTAGAAAACATAAGTGGCTATGGTTCAAGAGCTATGTGCGTGACTAGCAACTCAATAAAATCTATCTCATTCACATGCATGAAAATTAGTAAGGCTATAAATACGCTTAAGCTTTCGAAAGGTCATGGAGTAGACGGGATTTCATCATTTCTCTACAAATATGGTGGTCCAGATATTCCACTTCTTCTTCTCAAGCTGTTTACTCTCTCTATGGAAACCGGTTCTTACCCCTATTGTTGGAAAACCGCGTACATCATACCACGTCACAAATTTGGAGATAAGACTGACATGAACAATTACCGGCCAATAAATATTACTCCAGTTATTTCTAGGATTATGGAAAAAATTATCAGTGATGAACTTTCCAACTATTTACTTGCTGGAAAATTTATCAATGATACTCAACATGGATTTCTTAAAAATCGTTCTTGCATGACATGTCATTTTGACTTCTTTAATTTAGTTTATTCTCTACGTAGCCAGGGTTATCTAGTCTTAGTGCTATATCTGGACATTTCTAAAGCCTTTGACATGGTTAGCCACCAACTTCTTATAGGTAAGCTCGCATCTTATGGGGTTCAAAATCCTTTGCTTGCTTGGCTTGATTCCTTTCTCAGCAATCGATACCAAATAGTCAAAATTAACTCTTCATTGTCTAACGCTGTCCCTGTTAGAAGTGGAGTAATACAAGGTAGTGTCTTAGGTCCTTTGCTCTTTTTAGTGTATATTAATGATATTTGTGAAAGTTTTTGTGTCGGTAAGCCCCTTCTATATGCAGATGATCTTAAAGTAGTATATTCATTTTCTCCACATGACCTGAAAAATATACGAAATTGCGTCAACATGGAGCTTAACAAGGTAACACAGTGGTGCTTGAAATGGCAACTGAAGCTTAATACGGCTAAATGTGGATGGATATGCTTCGGCGATACATCGCTCAACCTAGACGTTACCATAAATGGAGTAGTGTTATCTAAGTTACATACAGTAGTAGACTTAGGACTTAGATACTCCCAAGACCTGTCGTTTACAGAACATATATTAAAACAGACCTCTAAGTCTCAACGTCTAATAGGTTACATAACTCGAAATCTTTACAACACTGAGTCACGTATTCTAATGTACAAAGTTTGTGCTCGACCTCTTCTGGAATACTGCACGTTTATTCTTAGCAGTGCTCTCATAAAGGATAAATTAAGGCTGGAATCAGTACAGAGACGATTTACACTTCGTATTCTTGGAGCTGATTGTACCTTAACTTATAATTCTAGATGTAATAAACTTGGGCTAGACCCTTTATGGAGGAGGAGACTCAAACTAAATCTTATTTTTTTCTTCAAAATACTTCATAAACTATCATTTACATCCGATCACGCGATTCAATATGCAGAAACCTCTCATTATAACATACGTAATTCCTTGGCACTAGTGAAACAAACTCATTCTAAATCATCTCTTTATATGAATTACTTCACCTGTAAATTCTCTAGACTCTGGAATAACCTACCACAACCTATCCGCACGATAAAATCGCTCCCATTATTTGTTCGCTGCATCGATGCATACTGTTCTTCTGAAAATGCATTGAATGGTCTAGCGCCTTTAAGTGTATCTCATTCCACAAGTGATATTTTAGGAACCTTAAATGTTTAACCATCTTTATTACTGAATCCCCTTAGTAAAACCACCCACTTGTTGTCAATATGTCAACACTGCCATTAGCAACTTTAACTAATTTGAATAACACAAACAGTATATCACTGTGTCACATGACACACGCATTTAGGTAGACCTGATTAATATATTTTGGTAATTACTTTTTTGTTGTTCCGTGCTCTCTGTTTTCGTTTTAATTTCTCTAGTTGTAGATAATTATCATTAATTCGATCTGGCACACGAATTTACCATAATTACACCGTTCATAAATCAACAGGCTGTCCATTTAAGAAATCTTAAAAAATCCCGGATAATGCTTTGGATCGCTGTAATACTTGTACTACTTAAACAACCAGTGAACTAGTACACTTAATACTTTCTTTTATCATATGTTTGTTTTCTGCAGGTTTAACGTTATTACTTATATCAAATTGATCATGCCTGTAAACTGGCGTGAATTCTGTAATTATTATTTTTCAGAATAAATTTATTTAAATTTTAAATTTATTTAAAATCCTAATAATCTCCTCAAACCTATACTGATAATTCAGTTTTGATGGACAAACCAACATACGAGAAAAAATGCGTTTAATAGAACTTTGATTTGACATAACTAGTCAGAGTATATTTTGGGTTAACTGCATTTAGAGGTGTAATTAGACTCTCATATATATATATTTAACAAGCTGGTTGTCAATATGCATTTGGATACTAAAGGATTTCAATCAAAATAATGTACTTTGAAAGATAGTAATCTGTTACTTAATCAATGTTAAAAGCTGAAGACAATCATTTATCATAACCAATATATTCGAATGTATTTGAACGATTACATTTTTTTCAATTAGTATATCTCATTTCGTTTAATACAACATAATAAGTTATATGTCAGTTTATAAGAATTCTTTATATTTGATTGTATATCTGACATTTAAATATGGAAGATTCATATCTTGAAGATTTATTGATAAACACATTTATAAACAGAGAATCTATAGTAATTTGAACTGTCTTTAATCCTTATTTTTTTTTAATAAATGACACTGAAAAACTCAATCTACATTTTCTCTTGAGTTAGAATTAGAATTTATAGATTACAGACGGTTTGGAACATTAATTTTCTATTTCTACCATCAATTCCTTATTCTCAGCACTAATATATTTACTTACTATAGAAGGTTCTCAAAATTTTAAAGACAATACACTTCATAATTGGCAGTTACTCGAACAAGTAGTGAATATCACGGGAGATTAGACGAATATTTTAACCTAGTAATATACAATCAAAACTACATCAGAAGCTTAACTTCAAAACATGACCTAAGTATTTATCAATTAGATAAGTTGGGTAATTTATATTCGTAGAATATTATTCAAAACACTTCTTAATTCAATATAAATGAAATGAATTTCAATTTCATTAAGAACATTAAAGAAATATTCTTTATAAGCAAAGATGGATAGTGGTGAGCAGTGGAATCCAGGACTCACGTTTTGTACATCTTTGCTTATAAAGCTTGTGATGTAAGATAACATCGCGGAGATCCACAAGCAATTGGCTATCAGGACTCAGTAGCTAAATGAAAAACGCGATGACGTTTGAAGTCAACAGTACTGAGTTCGAGTCCCAGAGTGAACATCAACTCTGGGATGCATACACATCCAAATGACGAGTTCCAAATAAGACAAAGCATGCGTCATCGGTTCCACTGTTGGCCACTATCCATCTTTGCTTAGAATGCAGTCTGCACAGGATGCACATATGCCAACAAGATACTGATCACTTACAGTGCTAACCATCAATAGGAAGATACAAGTAAATAATACTAAGTGAATTTCAAGAGATATTCTTTCTTATAATTATTGTTAAACTGTATTGCATAATTTCAGTCATAATTTATTTCTTACGGCACTGACCAAGATAAGAAGATCAGAGAAATTGATTAAATATATCTAACATCAAATTTTATTTATACACCTAATATATTGCAAAATAATCTATAACATCAGTATAGTAGTCAATACTTAACAAGAAATAATCTTCGTATGATCCTTTTATTATTATTATTATCATTATTATTATTATTACCATCATTATCATTATTCATAATAATACATACATACAATAGAGAATAATAGTAATAATAATAATCTTAATTAGGTTATAACGCCTTAGGCAAATGGGTTCAGGTAATAAAATAGAGTTCAATTGGATAGTTATATAGACTATTAAGGTTAACTAAGGTTGTTTCATTAAAATATACATATACGAATATAAATCTCTAAAATTGACAAATGATCAATTAGTAAATGTATATATGTAATAAAAGAATTTAAAATCAGTCAAAAACAAATTTACCTTCAATTCTCTTCATTGGTTTTGGTTTCGGTGGATTATTAATCTAAGAAGAGAAAATTTTTTTAAAAACTTTATTGAATAGGTCAATAAATTAAAAGAATTAAACAAGAAATAAAATTGAACATTGAATGACATTTTCAAAAGAAGCTCAATTAATATATTGAACACTGAACACTGGAAAACAGATCATGCGTCAATTGAAGCTAGACCACTATGGAAAACCTGGAGGCACTCCAAAGCCGTTTCATCTTGGTAAGGGACTCCTCAGCAGTGCACATCCATGATCCTGCCTCGCGAGATTCGAATCCAGGACCTATAGACCATTGAGCTAGCTGGCAACCAATGATGTTAATGTCTAACTTCAGCTAATCCACGAAATTGAGCGCACATCAACCATTGTCTTCAGTAAGTTACTATCTCACAATAAACCTAGTTGAATTCCACTAGTCACTGCTTCTCACTAAAACTCCAGGATATATCTCTTGATGCCAGTCACTGGTGAGCATATGTTGATTGATATCAGAAGGGTTTTTGTGAATATTTCGTCGATTGGTTAAAGTTAGACATTAACACCGTTGGATGCCAGCTCAGTGGTCTAGTGGGTTCTAATCCTGCGAGGTGGGATCGCGGATGCCCACTGCTGAGGTGTGCCACAATAGGATGAAACGACCTTGGAGTGCTTCCAGTTTTTCCATGGTAGTCTAGCTTTAATCGACTCATGATCTCAAACATTGAAATTACTATTATATCCACAAAAGCCCTTCTGATATATACATAAGAGTTTGTAGCGTAGCTTTTCATTCAATTTATAATATTTTTCAAGTATTTTCACTAACAACATTGTCACAATTTTATTCAGAACTATAATGATAAGTACTTTGATCTGTAGTTAGCTCAGTCATTTGAAGATGGAGCCTACGTCAAAATGATTATTTAAGGTTCCTATCTTAAATAAGCTTATTATGACTATAATTGTCAAACGATTTTTAAATGCTACAACATCATTCAACACACTAAAAATTTAAATCTTTAACTATTTTGCTCAAAATTAAAAATTTATTACAACTTGTAAGAACATCACAAAAACAATCATCAGGTCCAGTAACCTTTATGGTGTTTAAGAACAACTTGAGTCTATTTTGTGTCCAGCAATAGCCTAATTAATTCGTTGATTGTATCCCAGTTAAAGAAATTAGTGTCATCTAACAAGATATTGTCACTTCTGTTTTTAGTTTAAGCATATTATTAGAATTCTATTAATTGCTACCTGTATCGATATCAACAAAAGCTTTATTATGAATTTCCCGTTTAATGTCACATAGAAATATCATTTGTCATTTAAATTTAAAATTGGCTTAAAATCAACAGGCTAAAAGAACACTAGTAGGATTGTCTATAGAATAATTAGTTTCAAACATGAAGTTAAACTTCTCCATATAATCAAATCGATAATTTCAACACTTCACTTCAGAATAACTCATTTGTTATCATGAAAAGAAGTAAATAATACCAATAGTCTAAATTCACTTAGTGTTGGTTGCTTATATCTTCTTGTTTAGTACTGCAATTGATCATTCTCTTGTTGGCGTATTTGCATCCTATGCGAATTGCTTCGATGTTGCCTTAGGTCACAAGCTTTATAAGGAGATATACAAACAAACAACACCAAGTGAATTTGAAATTCACCCTATTCCACAAGCAAGTGGCTATCAGAACTCAGTAGCTAAGTGGATAACGAGATGGTGTTTGAAGTGAACCGTACTGGGTTCGAGTCCCAGAGTGAACATCAACTCTAGAATGCAGTCACATCCAGCTGACGAGTCTCAAATAGGATGAAACGCGTGTTCTGTATTCCACTGTAAACCACTATCTATCCTTGCTTATAATATCAATAGTCGTATTATAAATCCAAAACTAAGAGAATATAACAACAAAATTTTATTTATGAATGCATTCCACTAACCAGAGGTAGAAACGAAAACATTAATATTCAAAAAGTCAAACCATATAGATTAAGAATTAATCTAATAAGGTATAAACATAGGATGAATCAGAAAGTAAGATGTACACAGATATGATTTAGAAGAGCTGAAATGAACAACCATAATATCGATATATGAAAACTTAGGGAAAATTATCTTCTACAAAAAAGTAGTTACACTTAGTTTTTAGATTATATCTAGCTGTGGAATCAAGTTCATCTATCTCATTATATTTGGATACATTAATAAATATTTGAACTAAATAAGTTAATAGAAAACTCATTAGAGTTTCAATCAGTCAGTCATCTACAACGTAGAATCAGGCACATATATGCATCGGTCGAAGTTGGCATACCTCACTAGCACAATAAGATGAACACCGAATTCATAGAAGTAGCTAAGTCAATGGTGGTAATATTTAAAAGAAAGATTGTATATGAGGATATAGTACAAGAAGAAAGAATTAGTTCGTGGAAAGAAAGACATAAATCAATTTTAATCTCTTAGTCTAAGGGAAGACAGAGAGTGTATAAACCTACGCCTTTGTGATCGATTCATAGCCATCATCAGGAATTCGAGTTATAACAAAAATTATTGGAATTTCAGAGTGAGTATTAAAATAAACATTGGTCACAATGAATTGATTAGCTCATACAGATAACAATAAAGGTTATAACCCGAAAGTGTAAGGAAAAATTAGTATATCAATTATAACATACTTACATCAAAGGTTAAATAACCTAAGATGTATTTTCATTCAAGAAATGTTTTATATAATAGATAGTAATGCCAAATATGATGCTTCGTAACTCTTAAACAATCAGTGATATTTAACGTCAATTACCATCGCTTGATAAACTAATTGATATACTCAAAACAATTTATAATCAAGTTACATTGATTTCTATTCTTTTTCACTTCAGTTCATATTTTCAATTAAACTTACAATATGTCTTCGATGTTCATGATCTACCATATCTAACAGTGGATAAGCAGCTTGTACATCCTCTAGTGTTACAACATTCGTGAATCCAAGACTGTAAATTTGTAGGGAAAAAAATAGAAACAAATATTAGAATAAGCAAAGATGAGTGATGGCTAGCAGTGGAATCCAGGACTTACGTTTCATCCTGCTTCATATTCGTCAGCTGGATGTACCTGTATCCCAGAGTTTATGTTGCACTCTAAGACTCGAATCCAGTACTGTTCACTTCAAACGCAAGCTTGTTATCCACTTAGCTACTAAGTTCTGATAGCCACTTGCTTGTGGAATGGAGTGAATTTCGAATTCCTCAACAATGCGCACCTACAATTTCACACTGAACACAATTTCATACTTTCATAATTCCGTAGTGAATGAATTACATTAGATCATTGAGTTAATATCATACAGCTCATATTTCTAATCTAAGTTAGTTTACATTGTAATGAAATATCATATAATGTCACTGATGAGTATCTGTCTAACTTCTAACATGAACTGAATTTTGTGTTTCATTAACTAAGAGTTAGGGAACTCATTTCTACATTGATCATCTATGAGAACATAATTAATATTTACTTTATAGGCTATTGAAATTTCACACATTGAAGTCATGAGTCAATTGAAGAAAGACCACCATGGAAAACCTGGAAGCACTGGACGGCCGTTTCATCCAAGTATGGAACTCCTCAGCAGTGCGCATCCAATACCAAGCACCCCGCGGGATTCGAACCTAGGACCCGTCAGTCTTGCGTCAGGCGCTTAACCAACTAGACCACTGAGCTGGCATCCAATGGTGTAAATGTCTAACTGTTAAATATCTAAAATCTCCACAAACTTCTGATTATTGAAATACCTAAATGATCGATATTCCACATGATTAATTAATCTTACTTATTGAAAAACTTTCTGTTATGCACTACATTTTAAAAATTAATGTTACATTTTTGTAGTTTAAATACATGGTTAAATGTATTCAATATTTTGATATTTTTTTCAGATATATACTATATTGTATAACAATTGTCAATTCGAGAGAGTGAGGGAGAGAGAGACGAAAAATATTTATATCATAAAGGTTGAATTTTTCCTCACCAGTCACCACTTCCTCTTCTTCCTCCTCCTCCTCCTTCTCCTCCTCCTCCTCCTCCTCCTCCTCCTCCTACTACTACTACTACTACTACTACTACTACTACTATTACTATATTGACAGCTCAAATCACTTTTATAATAGTTATTTATATGTCATGAATATTGTGAAAAGTCCATAAATGATTCTATGTGAAATTTGAAATTGACTATTCAATGTATATCGCATCATCTGAATATCATATGATAATTGGTTAATCGGTGTCAGTATCAAAGTTGAACTTGACAGTTTCAAATAAATTGATCATTGAGTAAAGAATTCATAATAAATATATTTTTCTTATATCTTAATGAATAGAAAAATTGTATTTTTGATATTTCGTGGCTTAATGTAAGCCACTACTCTAAAGAAGTGGCTTATACTTAGTTACAAAACTTCAGAAATACAATTTTTCTACTGATTAGAAAATAAGAAAAAATAATTTTTTGATTGAGATAATGGATGGATAAATGTTAGACCACCATTACAAACATGGAAGCACTGGACGACCACCATGTTCCAGTATGAGACTCTTCAGTAGTGCCCATCCACGATCCCGCCTCGTGAGATTACAAACCCTGATCCGTCATTCTGGTGTGCGAACACTTAACCTCTAGACCAACGAGCCGACATTCAACGGTGTTAATATCTAAACACAAACAATCCACGAAATCGTGCGACTATCTTGCATGGTACTGAGGTAGATGCCTGTCTCTACCCAACACGAACTATCTCCACTGGTCATGGCGTTCGCGCGCAAAATTGAAGGCCATAGGTTCGAATCCCGCGAGGCGGGGTCATGGATGCGGATTGCTGAGGAGCCCTACAATAGAACGAAACAGCCATCCAGTGCTTCCAGGTTTTCCATGATGGTCTAGCTTCAATTGACTCATGATGTCAACCGTTGAAAAATTATTCAGTTTGAACTTATTCTTCATAATGAATTGAAGTCAGCTGATTAGGTATCGAAAATAAGGAAGTATCAAATAATGATTTTTTTTCATTATTAGCTTGGATCAGTTATTGGATTTTCACTTGGTGATAAAAAAAATGTACCATATTATGAATAAAAATTTATTGTTCTGAATTCGATTGTTTGATTGAATTCATATGTGTTAACAGTTAGGAAGTTTTAAATTAGATTGGAACATTTATATTATTCTCTTTAGTTTCCATTGGTTTTCTTACTGATATCAATTCATTATGAAAATCATATTTATACATCAACACTATTTATTGATAATAAATATTCACTATGGTTTTCGTACTTATTTATTATTAATAATCTAAACATGTTAACTATTGAATCTTATTCAGTCTACTATATACTTCTATATTTTACTTTTCATCTACAATAAAATTTAACCAAATAACCTTTGTAGAGTGTTTCTCTTCATCATGGTCATTTATCTCATTTAACAAAGACTTTTATAATCAGAAGGGGTTTGTGGAGATTTTAGAAATTTTCACAGATGTAAATCATGAGTCAGTTGAAGTTGGACCACCATTGAAAACCTGGAAGCACTGGACGGCCGTTTCGTCCTAGTATGGGACTCCTCAGCAGTGCGCATCCACGATCCCGCACCACGCGGGGCTCGAACCCAGGACCTACTGGCTTCGCGCGCGAGCACTTAACCATTAGACCACTGAGCCGGCATCCAACGATGTTAATGTCAAACTTCAACCAATCCACGAAGTTGCGCCACCGTACACCATTGTCTTCAGTGAGCTGATATCTCACAACAGACCTGGTTGAACTCCACTGGTAACGGCTTTCCACTAGAACTCCAGGAGTATCTCTTGAAGTCAGTCACTAGTGAGCAGATGATTATTATCAGAAGGGGTTTGTGGAGATTTTAGAAATTTTCACAGATTTAAATCATGAATCAGTTGAAGCTGGACCACCATTGAAAACCTGGTTTTCAATGGTGGTCCAGCTTCAACTGATTCATGATTTAAATCTGTGAAAATAGACTTTTATAATCAACCTATTATCTTGAATTACTCATTAATTCATTATTATTTACATCAATAATTAGTGTTAAATAACCAACTGTTTGAATTATGACTTTTTCATCATTAATACGATGTATTTACATTATTAAAGAGATTTGTACATAAGAATGTTCCATTTCTCTATGATGTTTAGCTGAATGTTAGTTCGTGATGGTACACTGCTAAATAAACTGTGTACAAATAATTTATAATTTATACATATATATTATTCACATGTATGAAAACGAACAAATAAAGCCGTATTCAATTGATTCAATTAAGTTTAGTTGTGTACAATTCATAACTGAATGTACAAATGAACCATCCACAGATCCTATAATGACTGCTATTCATTGATCTCATACTAAGCATTTTAAAAATTCAGGTAGATTACCATTACTGTTATCAGCACAAAAAACTTAAGAAGATTCCTCAGAATGAAGATAGTTGACATAAAAAACTGATTATGATAGATGCTCATTCGAAGATAGGAATAAATGTCTAGCTACTTCATCCAAACTGAACACTTCTTGACGGTCTGCATCTACTATCATGATACTTAACGAACACGGTTATTCAAGATGTTGTGACAAGCGTATCACCTTTGAACTAATGGTGTGTGTTATATCCCGTTAAGAATAATGAATGATAATTCTTGGGATCCATTTATGGACCAGTACGATGAGTATATTTTTATCGTATAATTGTTATGTAACTAAACTGCTCATATTCATGTCCCTGTTATTATGAGTTTTATTTTGACCTGTGAACTATTATTACACGACTTACCATTCTTGAGTTATACCCAGTCTACCAATTACTATTTCCCATATTCACAGTCACTTTTGGTCAGATCTTGTACAAATGTTGTTTCATATTTTATGGTACGTTGTGGTCTGTCTGGTTGATATATAAACCGATTAGGTTTGAAATAAATGATTCATATGGCAGAGGCTGAGACTTGTGTTCTGGACTTAACTGGCTGGGCTAGACAGGAAGCGAGACTAATAAGGACTCTAGGTTGCTCGCACGTGTTTTACGCATCGCTGGTTCGATCGATAATTCTCTGTCCTCTGATTGGCGGTATCGTTGCGTTATCCAATATGCAAGGCACACAGGATCACAAGTTATAACAGTGTGACAGTTAATAATAAATGAATATAAGGGATTTGTCAATAGTATATTGTCACTGAAATATATTACACAATGAACTACATCTAAATATATCTTCAGCTTGCTATGAAGCCATTATAAAAACACAGCAACGTCATCTTCGAGAAAACAAACAGTGGAAAAAGGGTGTGATTGATACTCTATAAAGTTACTAAAAAAAAACTAAACCACTGCGTATTGTTCTCAAGCGGTTACTTCCAATAACTTATATTTTGCTTTTTAATTTTAAAACACTTATAAGTAGTATATATATACATATGTGCAAAAAATTAATTAACATAACTTACTCATTTGCCAATTTAACAATATTCCCTTGTCCAATAAACAATACACATTTATCATGATATTCCTTGTAAACTGACAATGGACTAGGCGCTAGAATAACTTGATCTGGATGTATCTAAATACGAATGAATTAGTAAAGGGAATGAGAATGGTTACTAAATTATAATGTTTAAAAAAATGGTATTATCATACGTTCATATCATCAATCTGCATAACAAAAATGTTAACATACATATATTTCATCCTATTATTGATAACCTCTTGGAATGTACTAGTCAGTCTGCGATTTACATTAATATCAGTACATTCGAATTCTTAATAGTATAAACAGAATAATTACAAGATGATGGTTTCATTCGACTTACAAAAATGTCCAGACTATAATTCACGGACAAACCAATCAGACTTACGATAACAGGTCTTGAATTTTGGAGTGAAATTCATTGATTCATTCATTTGGTTAAATAGGTTTTTTGGCATTATTAGCTGGTGTCAGTTTGTGATGAAAACCCTATATCTGATTCCTAATCCTAACTATCAGCGATAAATATTAATCCTTATTTATAACATTCATTAGGCCATAGTATGTAGGCGGACATTCTCTAGATCATTTTAGCATCACTCAAGAAGCATCTATAAATTATAGCCTCACCACAAAAATGCCTAAACACTAACGACGAACATTTCAACTATTGAAATTTTTAAAATCTCCACAAAACCCCTTCTGAAAATTTTTAATGTTCTACATCAATAGTTCATCTGTTATTTAGTGTATTACTAATAAATGAATTAATTGGAGGTTTTACGATGAAGTAAGAATACTGGAACAGACTCATTGATTTTCATATAATTCATAATTTTCATAATAAATTAATAGCTTTGGACATATTTCACTCTAATGACGAAAAACAATTCTTTCTAATGATTTTAAAACGTTTCAAGCATTATATGAAATATTTGTAGGCTTGTTTAAGTACTTTTAATGGTTAAGATCATGAGTCAGTTGAAGCTAGACCACCATGGAAAAACTGGAAGCATTGGACGGCCGTTTCGTCCTAGTGTGGGACTCCTCAACAGTGCTTAAGTACTGTTATATGAATCTTCTCTACTTATGTATTTCCATCAACAAACTTAATTGTCTTTTTCTCGTTCAACTTGATCCTATGATGTAATTGTATCATAATAACAATATGACTAAATAGAAAAAAATGGTCGAATAAGAAGTAAGCACTTAATACTTTATCCCTTACAAGGATCAAAATGTGGACTGTTAAATCAAATTCTCATTATCATTTGACCAATGACCTAAGATCGAATAGTTCACATTTATTGATCAAGTAAATCCACGGTATAATATAAATATCATTTCATAATAGGTTCAGTTTTTGAGTAATGTCATAAGTTGACATTACTGACAGATTTGTTGTTGAAATGTGAAAAAATATTCAATTCATCATGATTTTCAGTGACTTCACTACTAAAATTAACCTGTAACATAAATTGACTACAAAAAAAGAACAATGAATAAAATCTATAAGCGATCCATTATTTTCATATTTGTCATTCGTATTATTAGACTAAACTAAGTTGACCTTTATTAATTAATCAAAGTTAATATATAAACCTGTCAGTGAATAATTCACTTCAATACTCAATTAATAAACTTAACAATCTATTCAAATGATTAAATATAGCGCATTCAATGAATTAAAACACTCTATCTATCCATCCACACATCTATCTATCTATCTACCTATATATATATATATATATATATATATATATATATATATATATATATATATATATATATATATATATATATATATATATATATATATCTTTATTATCTACGAATCAAAGTTCAATGTATTTTCAATTATTTTACAATAAATAATAAATGACATTCATTCAATCATGAATTGTAAATTATCAATTTATAGATTAAATTATTTTATGTTGTCTTATTGTAATAGATTACTAAGAAACAGTTCCAAATATTAATTTAGAATACTTTTGAATTAAGACCATATCGAGACCATACGTACAGGATATATATATGTCAATAACAGACTGATCAATTGCAGTATTAAATATCAATAGGAAGATTCAGGTAAATAATACCAAGTGAATTTAAACGTTACTCTGTTGCACAAGCAAGTGGCTATCAGGACTCAATAGCTAAGTGAATAATATGATAACGTTTAAAGTGAACGGTACTGGGTTCGAGTCGCAGAGTGAACATCAACTCCAGGAATTAGGTACATCCAGCTGACGAGTCTCAAATAGAATGAACCGTGTGTACTGGATTCCATTGTTAGCCATTATTCATCATTGCTTAGAATGTTTGTGAATTAAAGCAATATCGAACAATACGTATAGGATACACATATGCCAACATGACACTGATCAATTGCAGTACCAAACGTTCATGAGAAGATTGAAATAAATAATATTAAGTGAATTTAACTTAATAACATTGTGCTGAAATACTGGTTTCGATTAGATTCACATCAGGCTTTACTCTAATGTACAGTAATATTTATATGCATATAGGAAATTATCAGAAGGGGTTTGTGGAGATTTTTAGAAATTTCATAGATTGAAATCATGAGTCGATTGAAGCTAGACCACCATGAAGGACCTGGGAGAACTCCAGAGCCGTTCCGTCCTAGTATGGGACCTCTCAGCAGTGTGCACCCACGATCCCGCACCCCGCGGGATTCGAACACAGGACCTACTGGTTTCGCTCGCGAGCACTTACCATTAAACCACTGAGCCGGCATCCGACGGTGTTAATGTCTAACTTCAACCAATCCACGAAATTGAGCAACACATCCAGTGGGTCCTGGGTTCGAATGTCGTAAGGGGCGAGGTCGTGTATGTGCACCGCTAAGTCCCACAATAGGACGAAACGGCCATCCAGTGCTACCAGGTTTTTCAGGGTGGTCTAGCTTGAACTGACTCATGATCTTAACCATTGAAATTACCATAATATCCACAAAACCCTTCTGATATTAAATGTCATATTGTAATATTGTTAAATACTTTAATGTTTATGGATTATTGTATCTACTATATTATCATTCGATTATAATAATTTACTGGGTAGCATTTTATCTAGAATAACAGAAGTAATGATAAATTACTACTTCAGGACATTTCCTATCATTAATGAGTAATATCTAAGCTTTTGTTAAAATAATATCAATGAAAAGAATTTAAATATAGTTAACAAGCGATTAAACCTTAACTCTTCTTACTTAACGATACCATAATGATGTACAACTATGAGTTCTATGATTGAAGATACAACTTTTAGACAACTGAATGAGTTCATTTAATTTTCGAACATTATTGAGAAGTGTGATAACTTTTATAGATTCACTCAGCTTTTTGTTATCACTTAGTGTTATTTGAGTGGAATAGTTAAATATTTGTTTTTGCTCTTAAATGGATCATTATTCAAAAGCTTCACAAAAATAAATGTCTATCATTACTATTACAAAATCCCATAAACCCGTTGAGTCCACAATATACATTAAAATATACCTGTTATTTAGTAGGTCGGTAGACTATCAATATATTAATCTAAAGGTAATTGGTTCCAAAATATTACTGTACATTTTTACAATGAGTCTATTATCCTGTAAATGATAGAAAAAGAAATCCCCTGTTTAGTTTCTTCTCCCTTTACTTTATAAAGTAAAATAAAGTCTCTTTTCAAATTCAAACTTTTGATCTACGCTCATAACTGAACAGATTATTATTGTTCAAAGGCTTTTGAGCTTATAACTAATACAATACCATCAAGACACTAAAATGAAATCTAACAATTCAGTTTTTCTAAATAAAAATAAAACACTTGTCCAGTACTATTTAAGAAATTGTATCAGCCCTGGTGGGTTAATATCTGACGAAATCTTACCATGGATTCAAGAAAGTCAGTTGAGTTTCACTAACTTGCATCACTTATAGTATAGGTAAAATATTCACCTGAGTATACTGAGTAGCAATCCTCTTTTTTTATTACTCTATGACTGTGAATCATAATCTATGAAAGTAGAAGACATGTGTAAGCTTCAGATATTCTATTCTTAATACATTTGAAACATTGCTTACATATTGTGAAATAGTAGAGTGAGAGATTCTTAGAATTGGAATAAGTTACTAAAACAATATGACAAATAAGATAATCAAACCATGATTTTGTTAAACAATATTTGGTAGTAATCACAACCCAAATGTCTTTTGAACTTTCAATGGCTCAGTAAGAAGCAAAGTAATGAGTCAGAAGATTGTGTTGATTCGTATATTATCAATATATTCCCATTCTTATTACCGTTAAACTCCGTTCATTTTTATAGATTAGTCCATAAAAATATAGGATGATTTGTTTTGCCCAACAATTATTTCAAATAACAATGAAATAAGCATTGATGGATAGTGGCTAACATTGGAATCCAGGACGCGCGTTTCATCCTATTTGAGACTCGTCAGCTGGATGTACCTGCATCTCACAGTTGATGTTCACTCTGGGACTCGAACCCAATCTCATTCACTTCAAACGTCATCGCGTTATGCACTTAGCTACTGAATTCGGATAGCCACTTGCTTTTGCAGTGGGGTAAAGTTGAAATTCACTTAGTATTGTTTGGCTTGTATCTTCCCATTGTGAAGTAAGGTAATATCGAGGCATACGCACAGTATGTACATATGCCAATAACAGACTGATCAATTACAGTCTTAAACCTCAATGGGAAGATACAAGCCGAACAATACCAAGTGAACAATGAATTAATTTTGAAATTTCACCAAATCACTTATCATAAATTAAGAATGTAAGAAAAGTACAAAAAAAGTTTTGACCTTAATCTTCTGTCCTTCTTCTTCTGTAAATAACCAAGAAATGATATAATTTTGAAATCAGACATTTTTAATCAATTCAGTTTGTTACGACTTTATGTGACAACATCTATTTTTATACTTACGAAGGTGTCTTATGGAGATGAGTGTATTTCATAGTTTATAATATGGATGGATCTTAACTAGAGAAGTAGATTGCTTTATTCTAGTATGAGACTACTCATTGATATGCATCTGCAAATTTACTAAAAAAAATCAAGCATTGAACCTTCAGAATTAGTTTAGTTTGCTAGCATTAAATAATTTTCAATGTTTATCCAAAATAAAGTCAGTTTATGATTTAAACTAAAAACTATAATAATTTCAGCAGTTAAAATCATGAGTCAATTGAAGCTAGACCATCACGGAAAACCTGGAAGTATTGGACGGCCGTTTCGTCCTAGTGTGGGACCCCTCAGAATCTTTATACTAATATTTGTGTAAAAAACGTTTTAGGTAATCAATAACTATATTACTTAAGAATATTCCAGTAATATCGTAGAATTATTCGTGAAAAATGACCTTTTTCACAAAATCACTATCATCATTTCTTTTCATTTATGAGCCTCGAGTAGCTTATGATTACATTTTTAAGATATATTTATGAATAATGAGCAAACGTATTACAGTCACTCACGTCAGTCAGCTACAGAACTTGGTACATATGTACATTGGCTCAAGTTATCACATCATAATAGTACATTAAGATAAAAAAATTATCTAAACCAATATCAGAGTAATATTACTGGTAATGGTATCAGTTAAAATATAGAGAAGTTTGAGCATAGCCAATGTAATTCACAAAGAGTTAATTTATGCAATAGGAAAGACTTAAGGGAACGTGAAATGTGATTATCTCAACTCCAATATGACTGATTCTCAGCCTTAACACTAAACGTTTCTAACGACTGGTTAAGATAATCATATGGACCTCAACTAGGTAGTCTGGGCCTAGCAACATAGCTCAACCCACCTGTCAGCGGATTTGTCAACTAATGTTAAGTACTGACTTGTCTGCCCTTAGCTTTAATCATTCAAATTCAATTAAGTATAAGCTAAGTATAAATATAAACTTAATTGATTTTAATTCATTTAACCTAACATCAAGATAAAAGACTTATGTAAAACATCTTAAAAACCGTACATAATATAGAAAATCAAAAGGATGTCTGCGATATTCTCTGGCTGAAAAAGTCTAATTGAATAAAATTCATCAAGATTTTTTTAAATTTAAATCAATTAAATACAAAGATTGAAAAGTAATTGCATCCAAATACCATGGTATTAACTCCATCTCTAGCTAAAAACAATAAAACATAAGGAGATTTGTGGAGATTGCAGAATTTTCAGAGTTTAAGTCACTAACTGATCTTATCTAGACCATCATTAAAAACCTGAAAGAACTGGGCGGTGTTCCATCCCAGTATTAAACTCCTCAGTAGTGCTCATCTACGACTGCGCATCCGGGAATCGAACCCAGTACCTTTGGTCCCCTGTGTGAACACTTAACCTCTAAACCCTTGAGCAAGCTATAAATGGTTCTTTACAATAATTATACTTTATGAAACACTATTCATGCATATCTTTTGTTGAGAAAAAAACCCAACAACATCATGACTTACATTTATGCCGAACCATTTAGAAACCATTTGTACTTTTGTTGCAGCATCTCCAGATCCATTAGTTACTAACGCAACTGGAACACGCAGTTCTTTTTTATCAGGATCACATAATAATTTGAATGCTTCAGCTGCTTGAGGCAAAACTTCTAATCCACGACCAAGTACTCCGTCAATATCAAATAATAAACCGAAATTCGGCTATCAAATTATAAAAAGTCACTTTTAAAGTATCATGATAATTGATAAATAAATAAACAAATAACATTCTAGTAATACAGTATTTAAGTCCTTACATTAGAACCATCAAAATATCCAGGTACAATTTTCTTATTATGAAGATGTAAATATCTGGGGGGAAGCACGAGATACAGTGGACAGCTAAGATGAATCTAGACGACCTAGAAAGGCGCAAGTAAGTAAGTAACAATTTTCTGATACATGTATCATAAATGTGAGATATATGCCATGATATTGACTAATAATCTACCAACATACTTCAACACTATAAATGATCGAAATTGGAAAATTATAAAATATTTTATCCTTATTAATAATTAAATTAATAATAAGACAAAACAGCCGTTCAGTGATTCCAGGTTTTCAATGATGGTCTAACATCAATTGATTCATGATCTCAATCAAAAACTTAACAATCTCCACAACTCCTAAACTGATAAATTAATATTGTTAAGGTAAACCTTTAGAAATATATTTTTTAAATATTTTTATAAGATCAAAATTATTCGGGGCAAAAATAATGCACTTGACAATTGTTACTATAGTTGAATTCATGAGTTGATTTAAGCTAGATTAAGATTGAAAACTTGGAAGCACTGAACGGCTGTTTCGTCCTAGTATTGGACTCTTCAGCAGTGCGCGTTCACGACCCCTCATTCTGATAAAAATTATTTCTGTGTTAGAAACAACAATAATAATAGTACCAAATTTATAGTTAGTGATTTATTAGTCTAAATGATTTTTTGGTCTTTGAGAAAAGTATACTAAAACCTTACTCACAATACTTAGCTATACGTGATAGTTGATGAACAAATGGGTTTTTAAAAAAACCATAGGTAGAAATACTGGGTTTCTACTAATATAACCGGACTATTCATTGTACTATTTGTTTAGAACTTGGTAGATCCACAGTAATGTTATTACAAAGATCTACTTACTTAATGTTTTCGCCACTATATGTTGTATAAAATGATACTTACCTTATTTAATATTTATGGTAACATGAGATTATTCAACAACATTTGTATGATTATTTCAGAAAGTAAGGTAAATATACATATGAGAAAAATATTCAGTGACTATTATCTCATTTGAAATTACAATGATTGGCTATGATTGACAAAGAAGTTCTTAGTTTTAAAAACTACATTTCATAAACTCACCTCTTGATGACTGTCTGGGTCTTCAGAACTATCTGTTGAATCGTCATGATTCTCATAAGTAAATATTTCCGCTTTTCCTTTATTCCCTATTTCTGTCATCATAAGTTTTCTAGGAGATTCACTTGCGTTTATATTTCTGATAGTTTCTGATTAAACTTCAATATTCTAAAGAAAAGAATAAAAAGTACATTCTTATTGAAATTTGAATAAACAAAAACAAAAATATGTACTACTATACAAATGGTATCTGGAGACTATCGAATTTTTATAGTTAACATCACTAACGATTTTTATTAAAATGATGCCTATTCCACTCAGATTCATTCGTAATGTCAACTATATAGATATTTACTAACGAAAGTTTTTACTGAAATATCAATATAAAGTTTTTGAAGATAATTTCCACCAAGAAGAGTTACCATTACTACAGTAAGTCCACTGTGTTAGAAATCTCATTGTAATATTTTGATATTTACAGTCAGTATGTAATATAAACCATTAGCAGATTTTACATATAATACTTATATGATTTTGAATTGGTGGAGATTTGTAGCTTAGGTAAATGATTTTGCGGGAGTCATTTACCTAAGCTTGCGGGAGTGCCCCCAAATGCCCTGGTACGGCCGATAGTGGGATGGGTTCGCCCTCCTTCTTGAAATATTTCCACAAGGCTACGCGTATACAACCTCTGCCAGGGAAGTCCTACTCACTGCCTTCTCGTGGCGGGGGTGTTGTTTAAGAAAATGGGAGGACGGAAAGCGAATGTCCGGCGCTTTAACCGGATTCCAAATCAATGGTGCACATGGGCTCCAGTATCCTGCGGGGACAAATGGTGTATGAACCAATTGTTGGTCACCGGCTTCCATGGGACTACATCTCCTCACGATGCTCTACTGCCTTGTGGATCAGACCTTCAGGTCGAAGGCTCGGGGAGTGGTCCCCTAAGATAACTACTTGCTTCGGTCTGGGCACCCAGGCATTATCACACCCCTCACATATATCGAATGAGATTTATGTGGTGCATATGTATTTGGTGCCTCCTTGTACCAATATCTTTGTGTTAAAATAAATAAATAAATAATTTACGGGAGTTTTTTTCCTCTGAGCTGAATGGATTGATTGTGAAGCTTTCATCGTTCTTCTGAACGATATCATCAGTACAAAATTTAGCACTTCTACCTGAAGAAAGCTCCACAATCAAACCATCCTACTTAGAGAACAAAACGTCAGCAACATATAACACTTATTACCATTAGTAACAAAGAAAAAAAATCTTTATAAATTATTAGAAAACGTACAATCACTAATGTTAATTACGTCACAGAAAGTAACTTTTTTTAGAAAACTAATAATTTATATAAATATAATCCCTTATTGTTGATAATCTATTCTAATACATCATATATCATATTACTATTGGTCATTGTTTTTCAAAACATAGGTCATATAACACAATATGTACACATACATATATATACATGTCCAAATAACTTTAAGGATTCAACTGTTCACTTCAACTATCAACTTGTTCATGTTCAAACTGTTTATAATGTGATAATTCCTCTCGCTCTCTCCCTCTATATGCTAATGATCATGTGTTAATTAGAATGAGATTAAAATTGTATAGTTCGATTAAAACATGTATGAATATGTGTTTGTTTATTTATTTCAAACAATATTGTTGACAAATAATTATGACTGATTAATTGATGTAAAGAAATGCAAATTTATACATGTACTTCACTCAATCATTATATAAGAACAGTAGACGGAATACACCGATTATGACATTAAATAAAGAAAGATTGGTTCATCGGATTTTGGATATTTGGTCATGTTAATCCAATCCTTAAGAAAGATAACAATCATATTCACTTCATCAAGAATAATACAGAAACCCATTAAGTTCCGTTACTGTCAAAGGGTCTTTGAAATTTTTTTAGAAAACAGAATACACCTATTAAAACATTAAATAAAAAATAAAGATTGGTTATTCTGTCAAATTAACCGAGGTGAATACGAATGTTATCTTTCTTAAGAATTGTGTCAACATACACAAATATCCAAAATCTGAAAAGAGAACTCTTCATTGAACCAATTTTTCTTATTTCATTTTCATTGTTCACAAAGAAAAATCTTATAGTTCCAATGAAAGAAGATTAAATAAGAGAATGAATGTGTATTCTTTATCAAGACAGCTTTAACAAAAAGTCAATTAGTTTGATCTTTCTATTATTCTATTGCTTAATGCATTCTATAAATGACTTAGTCTTAATTTCGTTTTGTTTTTATTATCACAATTACCAGACTACTTAAATACCTGAATCTGTAGAAATACTGTAATATATTTTAAATATATCTTCATTAACAAACTGAGTATTGAATGAGCACCAAACTCTCTCAGCCCTTAAGTTATCTAATTTTCATTTATATTCATGTCTTCTAACTTCATTGTCTGATCACATCTTGCCCTAAAATAATCAGAGTTTGACTTAATTACCATGTATAGGTTTATATATTCATAGTTGAGTGATTTTCTTTGAAGTTGATCTAATGTTACTATCCAGCTAATTAAAACTAATTAGTAAACGGTTTTTAAACATAATGTCTAATAGTTGAAAGTTTATAGTGAAGTTAAACACTTTAAAACTCAAATAAAGAGATTAAAATAGTATATTCGTTTATTATCTTACAAAACAAAACTCAAATATTATAAACAAAGATGGATAGTGGCTAGCAGTGGAATCCAGGACGTGCGTTTCCCATTTAGGACTCATCATTTGGATGTAACTTCATCTCAGAGTTGATGTCCACTCTGATACTCGAACCCAATACCGTTAGCTTTAAATGCCATCTCGTTATCCACTTAGCTACTGAGTCCTGATAGCCACTTGCTTGTGGAAAACGCGATGGCGTTTGAAGAGAACGGTACTGAGTTTGAGTCGCAGAGTGAACATTAACTCAGATTCAAGTACATCCAGCTGACGAGTCCCAAATAAGACGAAACGCGCGTCCTGGATTCCACTGTTAGCCATTATCCATCTTTGCTTAGAATGCTTGTGAATTAAGGCAATACCGAGGCAGTTCACACAGTAGGCATATATGCCCAGTGCAGTCCTAAACATCAATGAGAAGATTCAGGTAGACAATACCAAGTGAATTTAAGACCCAAATATATTTATATATATCCAGAAACAGTAAATTACTAGTACTTTATAATACTTTGATTTGTTAAATTTATTTCCCTTAACTGATGACTACCTTCAGAGTACTGATTAATGATACACCGAGAAACCATGATGGACAAAGCCATACACTCACAATTGATTTATCACTGGGTGGTGATCAATGTCATGCTTGTCTATTCCTTATTAGTGCAGATCGAATGCTATCGATCGTGTTGCAATGTGGCCACCAGTCTAGGTGACTCGACACTGCGGGCACTATGTATTGAGATTTAAATGGTGGTTGGAGGTAGTCAACAGGAAACCCTAGACCCGGATTTCGTGCTATTCGGCACTCGTGTCGATTGTCGAGTCATCTAGACTGGTGGCCACATTGCGACATGGTCGATAGCATTCGATCTGCACCAATAAGGACTAGACAAGCATGACATTGATCACCACTCAGTGATCAATCAATTGTGATTACATCTCAGTCCTACAGGAGGTCAGTCACGGCTCGGATAGCTCAGTGGTAACGTCTCTGACTGTGAAACTGGGTGACACGAGATCGAATCCGCCAGGGAGCACCAGTTCCCCCAAGATTACAGGTACACCTTGCTGACGAGTGCGAAATAGCACGAAACACGGGTCCATGGTTTCCTGTTGACTACCTCCAACCACCATCTAAAGCCATACACTTTCAAACAACAAAGTATTCTAACTACATATGGATAGAATGAACGATTTCATTAAATTTTCATAAACACAAAGATGATATGATCACTATGCAACTTTGTATTTAACAATTTAATTTTAAAAGGAAGATTAAGGTCAAAACTGAGAAGATATTTTAAAATTTCTTGATGTTATATATTATTCAAATAATTTGTTATGAACTGCAAATGTTCAGTATAGGTTTGAAGGTGAATATTTTCGACAAGTTGATGGTGTTGCTATGGGTAGCCCTTCGGGGTCACTCTTAGCTGATGTATTTATGTCATATGTTGAAAATATGACGAGAGAGCTGATTGGCGAGGCAACGTTTTACAGAATACTCATGGATGATATATTACTTTGAGGTTTCCCAGTTATTACATAAACTGAATGGGGTACAGAATGATAACGTAATGACTTCTGATGCAGAAAATAATGACCGATTTCCCTTTTTAGATACGCTTTGAGTTGAAAGGAGGATGGTACTATGAGACCGTCAGTTTATATGAAACAAACTTGGATGTGGTAATATTTAAATGTCCATAGTTTCTGTCTATTATAATACAAGCGAGGCTTGGTTAAGAGCTTCTTTGACAGAATTCAAAGAATATGCACCACTGATACTGTTGAGGTAGATGAAAAGCTGCTGATTGACACACTAATATCAAATGGTTATCCACTAAAGTAAATAAATAGGTGACAAAGTCAGTCAACACCAAGACATCTTGTTTATTCGGTTCCGAAGAAAAAGGTTTATATCTGTTTGTCATACAGAGGCGAATCTAACAGTATGGTTATAAGACAGAGATTGAAAGCAGCCATCGAGAAAACATATTATGCTACTAAACTGATTGTGATTGATAAGATTAAGCCCATGATTCCAAATAAACTTAGACAATGCACAAACGACTACGTCATACCACAATGTATTTAACAATTTACATGTTTAAAAATTTAAAATGTTATATAGAAATTGTCAAGATCGAATTCTCAGTTTTATAGTAGCCTTGACTATTCGTAAATTTAAACCCTCATGTTTACGAAAACAATTTGTCGTAACCTTCAATCTACCCTGATAACCCTTAAGTCATTTTATGGTCTAGGGTAATGCGACAATTTCTTATTCTTTCTATACTTGAAATTTCATTTAGTTGACCTTTATTAATTTTCATATAAAATGCCTTGACAAGTATATATGTGACCAAACTGTTTGGAATATATAGCGCAAATACATTACCTTATTTCAAATCAACTCCATCTTCGTATTGCTCTATCGAAGTTTATAAAAGGGACTAATTACTTCACATAATTTCAATTTGTTGGAACTATATTAAATTAGTGATAGTTCTTAGGTATGAATCCCAAGGTTGAATTTGATAGCTTCAAATAAATTGAGCATTGGGTAGAGAGTTAACAACAAATATTTTTTTTGTTATAGCTCAATGAGTAGAAAAAATTGTATTTCTGATGTTTCGTGACTTAGTGTACGTCACTTCTTCAGAGTAAGTAAATAACCGAATTAAATTAATATAAGTTTCTTTTGTACTATTGAAATTTGTGCTTTTTACTTCTAAAAACTTCATAAAGTCGCTTGATATAACTATGCGTGAAATTGTACTTTTATAGAGTTCAGTTAAATTAAGTTAATCTTCTCAAAAAATGTATTATAGGTACTTCAAATGAAACCAAGAATTTATTCTAATCTCATTAGTTATCTTAAAATCAATGAAGAGGAATAATATATTAGTAAAACTTCAATGAATGAATCTGAAGTAAATCCAACGTTTCGTCTGACAATCTGATCCAAGCTTTTTCAAGGCAATGTAATCAAACATCAATATTATCGAATAAAAATAAGTATACGATTCTCTGGTTCTGGTTAACGTTTTTTTAGCTAGTTAGTTTTCTACGGAATGGGGTCACTAACCCCATGCCTAATCCTCCTCTTTTATCCGGGTTTGAGACCGGCAGTAGCCCCAGAGGGGCTCCAGGTGGAGCTGATTCTCTGGTTCTTACTTACGCCTGTCACTCCTAGTGGAGCATAAGCCGAAGACCACTATTCTCCAGTTCATTTTTTCCTTGACCTTGCTTTCTACTTCTATCCAATTTTTGTTCATTTTTCTCATGTCTGTCTCCATTTCTCGGTATAATGTGCTCTTTCCTCTTTCTCTCCTCCTTCGGCCTTGAAGATTCCAAATGAGAGTTCACCTTGTGATGCCGTTGGATGCTTTCCTCCATAAGTTTCCTATCCACTTCCAGTGAATTCTCTGGTTCACTCCATACTAAATATGTCATCTAATTAACTTTATTAAACATCGTTAACGTTGATTGGATGACTTATTTAATATACAGTGAACCAGAGAATAGTGTACTGATTGATAATTTTAATGTTTGATTATATTTCCTTGAAAAAAACTTGGATCAAATTGCTAGACAA